GTTCGTCCTTGTTTCTCATTTTCTGCTTTTCGATCCTAAGTTAATGTTATAATTGCAGCGTCGCTTTCATATTCTGCCGTGAGATGCACGACAACCTGCTGCCGTATCAGGTGAGATGGAACTTTACAATTTGGTTATCTCACCACAGCGGAGAAATATCTATTCACATACAGATTCAAGTGATATGTGCCAGAATGCTGAGCAGTGTTTTGGAAGGATTGACAAAACATGCTAAGGAAGGAGAAGCGGTTAGTCTTATGAGAATGGCAGTCTAACAATTTAAAAATGGCAAAGTTAAATTGTAACTTTCGTAATTTCCAGAATCGCGATCTCATTTTGATGATACTGGAAAGCTTGGTGGTGAAAATGAAGGTCATTGCTGTCTACCACATGCCTTTGCTGTTCAAGCAACATGGTGCTGAAATCAACTACGATTATAAATCGTGCGATCGAGACGGGTTAGCCATTCGATAGTGGTCATTTTCTGTACAATTTAATGACTCGACGGCTTCCACCGCTGGATGTTCATTGGTTTTGGTGGAAGGAAACGCGAAATCCGAATAATTTCTGGTGCAAGTGGTTACCCATGGTAGGGGTTGTTGCCTCGAAGCCCTTGTGAACGCAGTGATACTCCCACTAGCAAAATATATAAAAAGGCGGTGAGAGGATCTGACATAGAGCGCATCGTTGTTGGTATTCCCCAACAGGAGGGGGTGTATCTGGGCTAAGAAAAGTTTTTTTTCGTAGTTGATTTTTCTTGTTTCAGGGACGTTCAAAGGGGAAGGACGTATTTCCCTCTGTCATTCTGAAGAAGGTTGCTTGACTTTTCGTGATTTTTCCTGTTACATGTGTAGTAAACCCCTCCCTCCGCTCATCAGCAAAATTTTGGGGGAGAAGTAGGGAAATTTTTGGGAACTTCCGGAAAAGTATTAGGAAGTTAAGGAAAATCTAAAAAAAATGGTAGAAGGGGGTCGTATTCTCCTCGCGGTTTTTCCCGTTTCACATGTGCTCTCCTCCCCTTCCCCGCTCGACAGCTTGATGAGGAGGGAACCAGGGGGTCGTAACAACATTTAAAACAAGGGGGGGCACGTATTCGACCAAAATCCCCAACTAATGTTATGCCCTCATCTGAGGGTGCTCCAAGTTTCTGTGCGACAAGATTTTGGTTTCCTAGCACTCATAGATTCAAGACGCAACCAATCTAAGAAGTTCTTTGGAGGCCCGCTCTGAGTTGGTGTATGTGCAAAGTCCGTTAAAGTTGCTCCCATCGCTCTGCCGTCGTTCCAAGAGGGACCCTGTAATGGCAAAGAAGCCCTCTCGGGCTGTCTATCAACCGCGGAATTTCTCTCCTTCTTCCTTTTTCTTCCTCCTTCCTTCTTTTCCTCTCTCCTCTTCTGTAAGCCGTACTTTCTTCCGCTGCAGGGCCAGAGGTATTTTTAATCGCATCTTCTGGCCGAGCATTCTGTGGGAAGAAAATGAGGAAGAGGAAAGAGAGATAGATTAGAGGAAGAAAAGTGGAAGGAGGGAAGAGGCTGTGCGGTTTACAGATATTCTGGCAACCGCGGGAACGAGGCGCAATGATCCAACCGACTTCACTGTATGAGTGTGCCTCTGGGGAATGTCATGGAAAACCAAAAGCTTTTCCGGTTTGTACCAGACGTTGATATTTCTACCTAACAGCGGATGACTGTGGTGGATTAATTTGTGGGAATATTTCTAGATTATGATACGGTTTTCTATAAACCCCGGCACTGTTACAGTGTTGAGGTTTATAGAAAAGTAATCTTTTGTGGAAGGTCTGTGAAGTGTTTGGCCGATCAAATGCCACACGAATAGTAAATGGAGGTTGATCGCCTTTTAGATGAGATTTCAAATTCTGAAAGTAACTTTTAGCAAGCTATACTGAGAGCCACCACAGATGTGTATAACTGTGCCGCTTACCGGAGGTTCCGTGAACATGTTGCGATTGGCGCCACCAAACTTCCCGAGGACACGTACCGCTGTTGCTACCGATTGCGGTTCCACAGACTTCCCAACGATTTTGTACAACCCTAAATATGGGCACAAACATGAAAATATCATCCATGAACCCTCACTCAAAAAAGGAACTGCTTCAGTTCACATCAGAAGACAAGCCTGTGAAGGCACAGTCTGCTGGCCGCATCTGTGGAGAAATAAAAATTGTGCCGTCTCCACTGACGCGATCTTCCTCCTCACCGCCTTAGAGGGAGGGAGCACGTGTGAGAAAGACACAATGGTAGGTCCCGCTTCACCTACATGACAGCTTGGGATGTACCTTCAAGGGGGGTCTGTTAATCTTTGGACAGCTCTCAGAAACATCCCGAATAGGAATAATC